GATCACTCACCACTCACTCACCACTCACTCACCACTCACTCACCACTCACTCACCCAGCTCGCTCTGTGAGAACTTGTGTATGAAGTCAGTGAACCAGTCCATAGGTGAGGATCACTCACCACTCACTCACCACTCACTCACCACTCACTCACCACTCACTCAGCACTCACTCACCACTCACTCACCACTCACTCATTCACTCACTCACCACTCACTCACCACTCATTCACTCACTCACCACTCACTCACCACTCACTCACCACTCACTCACCACTCACTCACCCAGCTCGCTCTGTGAAACTTGTGTATGAAGTCAGTGAACCAGTCCATAGGTGAGGATCACTCACCACTCACTCACCACTCACTCACCACTCACTCACCACTCACTCACCCAGCTCGCTCTGTGAAACTTGTGTATGAAGTCAGTGAACCAGTCCATAGGTGAGGATCACTCACCACTCACTCACCACTCACTCATCACTCACTCACCACTCACTCACTCACCACTCACTCACCACTCACTCACCACTCACCACTCACTCACCACTCACTCACCACTCACTCACTCACCACTCACTCACCACTCACTCACCACTCACTCACTCACTCACCACTCACTCACCACTCACTCACCACTCACTCACCACTCATTCACTCACTCACCACTCACTCACCACTCACTCACCACTCACTCAGCACTCACTCACCACTCACTCACCACTCACTCATTCACTCACTCACCACTCACTCACCACTCATTCACTCACTCACCACTCACTCACCACTCACTCACCACTCACTCACCACTCACTCACCCAGCTCGCTCTGTGAAACTTGTGTATGAAGTCAGTGAACCAGTCCATAGGTGAGGATCACTCACCACTCACTCACCACTCACTCACCACTCACTCACCACTCACTCACCCAGCTCGCTCTGTGAAACTTGTGTATGAAGTCAGTGAACCAGTCCATAGGTGAGGATCACTCACCACTCACTCACCACTCACTCATCACTCACTCACCACTCACTCACTCACCACTCACTCACCACTCACTCACCACTCACCACTCACTCACCACTCACTCACCACTCACTCACTCACCACTCACTCACCACTCACTCACCACTCACTCACTCACTCACCACTCACTCACCACTCACTCACCACTCACTCACCACTCATTCACTCACTCATCCACTCACTCACCACTCACTCACCACTCACTCTCTCACTCACCCACTCACCCACTCACTCACTCACCACTCACTCTCTCACTCACCACTCACTCACCACTCACTCACCCAGCTCGCTCTGTGAGAACTTGTGTATGAAGGCAGTGAACCAGTCCATAGGTGAGGATCACTCACCACTCACTCACCACTCACTCACCACTCACTCACCACTCACTCACCACTCACTCACCACTCACTCACCCAGCTCGCTCTGTGAGAACTTGTGTATGAAGGCAGTGAACCAGTCCATAGGTGAGGATCACTCACCACTCACTCACCACTCACTCACCACTCACTCACTCACTCACCCACTCACTCACCCACTCACTCACCACTCACTCACCACTCACTCACCACTCACTCACTCACCCACCCACTCACTCACCCACTCACTCACCCACTCACTCAACCACTTACTCACCCACTTACTCACCCACTCACTCACCCACTCGCTCACTCACTCACCCACTCACCCACCCACTCACTCACCCACTCACCCACCCACTCACTCACGCCCACACCTCCGATTGGCACGTAGTAGTGTATAGTAGTGTATTAGAGTGTATAGTCTAGTGTATAGTAGTGTATTAGAGTGTATAGTGTAGTGTATAATGGTGTAGTGTATAGTAGTGTATAGTGTAGTGTATCGTAGTGTATAGTATAGTGTAGTGTATAGTAGTTTATAGTATAATGTAGCGTATAGTAGTGTAGTGTGTAGTAGTGTAGTGTATGGTGTAGTATAGTATATAGTGTAGTGTATAGTAGTGTATAGTGTATTGTATTGCAGTGTAGTGTTTAGTAGTGTATAGTGGAGTGTTTAGTGTAGAGTATATAGTGTAGTGTGTAGTGTAGTATATAGTGTAGTGTACAGTGAGCGAAACAAGTATTTGATCCCCTGCTGATTTTGTACATTTGCCCATTGACAAAGAAATGATCAGTCTATAATTTTAATGGTAGGTTTATTTGAACAGTGAGAGACAGAATAACAACAACACAATCCATAGCTATTTCTGTGACCAGTTGCAAGCTAATCACTCAGCTATTTCAATGCTAAATTCTATGCTAATTCCTTTGTCAAGGGGTGCCTCTGCGGATGTGTATACTTTAACTTGGCTATTTCAATGAGCCATTTCAATGCTAAATTCTATGCTAATTCCTTTGTCAAGGGGTGCCTCTGCGGATGTGTATACTTTAACTTAGCTATTTCAATGAGCCATTTCAATGATAAATTCTATGCTAATTCCTTTGTCAAGGGGTGCCTCTGCGGATGTGTATACTTTAACTTAGCTATTTCAATGAGCCATTTCAATGCTAAATTCTATGCTAATTCCTTTGTCAAGGGGTGCCTCTGCGGATGTGTATACTTTAACTTAGCTATTTCAATGAGACATTTCAATGCTAAATTCTATGCTAATTCGTTTGTCAAGGGGTGCCTCTGCGGATGTATATACTTTAACTTAGCTATTTCAATGAGCCATTTCAATGCTAAATTCTATGCTAATTCCTTTGTCAAGGGGTGCCTCTGCGGATGTGTATACTTTAACTTAGCTATTTCAATTAGCTATTTCAATGCTAAATTCTATGCTAATTCCTTTGTCAAGGGGTGCCTCTGTGGATGTGTATACTTTAACTTAGCAATTTCAATGAGCCATTTCAATGCTAAATTCTATGCTAATTCCTTTGTCAAGGGGTGCCTCTGCGGATGTGTATACTTTAACTTAGCTATTTCAATGAGCTATTTCAATGCTAAATTCTATGCTAATTCCTTTGTCAAGGGGTGCCTCTGTGGATGTGTATACTTTAACTTAGCTATTTCAATGAGCCATTTCAATGCTAAATTCTATGCTAATTCCTTTGTCAAGGGGTGCCTCTGCGGATGTGTATACTTTAACTTAGCTATTTCAATGAGCCATTTCAATGCTAAATTCTATGCTAATTCCTTTGTCAAGGCGCTTTGTTTCTTCTCACACAGCTTAAAGGTCGCGGTCTGAGTTTGGCTTTTTCTCACTCCAGCGCTGTCCTCCAGACAGTCTCGTCCCTTCACCTGATGAAGGCCGCTTGTGTTGTGGCCGAAACGTCGTGATTTTTGTTATTTTATTTTTTACCTAAGTGACTTTACCCAATAGAACCAAAGACTGATCATTTCTTTGTCAGTGGGCAAACGTACAAAATCAGCAGGGGATCAAATACTCTTTTCCCTCACTGTATAGTGTAGTGTATAGTGTGGTGTATAGTGTAGTGTATAGTAGTGTAAAGTGTAGTGTATAGTGTGGTGTCTGTGTAGTGTATAGTTTAGTGTATAGTGTAGTGTATAGTGTAGTGTATAGTAGTGTAAAGTGTAGTGTATAGTGTAGTGTATAATAGTGTAGTGTATAGTGTAGTGTATAGTGTAGTGTATAGTGTGGTGTATAGTGTAGTGTATAGTAGTGTAAAGTGTAGTGTATAGTGTGGTGTCTGTGTAGTGTATAGTTTAGTGTATAGTGTAGTGTATAGTAGTGTAAAGTGTAGTGTATAGTGTGGTGTCTGTGTAGTGTATAGTGTAGTGTATAGTGTAGTGTATAGTAGTATAGTGTAGTGTATAGTGTAGTGTATAGTGTAGTGTATAGTGTGGTGTATAGTGTAGTGTATAGTAGTGTAAAGTGTAGTGTATAGTGTGGTGTCTGTGTAGTGTATAGTTTAGTGTATAGTGTAGTGTATAGTAGTGTAAAGTGTAGTGTATAGTGTGGTGTCTGTGTAGTGTATAGTGTATAGTGTAGTGTATAGTGTGGTGTTTGTGTAGTGTATAGTTTAGTGTGTAGTGTAGTGTATAATAGTGTAAAGTGTAGTGTATAGTGTGGTGTTTGTGTAGTGTATTGTGTGGTGTTTGTGTAGTATAGTATGTAGTGTATAGTGTAGTGTATAGTGTAGTATGTAGTGTAGTATATAGTGTATAGTGTAGTGTATAGTGTAGTGTATAGTGTAGTGTATAGTAGTATAGTGTATTGTATAGTGTAGTATATAGTGTATAGTATAGTAGTGTATAGTGTAGTGTATAGTAGTATAGTGTATTGTATAGTGTAGTATATAGTGTAGTGTATAGTAGTATAGTAGTGTATAGTGTAGTGTATAGTGTATTGTAGTGTAGTGTATAGTGTAGTGTATAGTATAGTAGTATAGTGTGTAGTGTATAGTGTAGTATGTAGTGTAGTGTATAGTGTAGTGTATAGTGTAGTGTATAGTGTATTGTAGTGTATAGTGTAGTGTAGTGTATAGTGTAGTGTATAGTGTAGTGTATTGTAGTGTATAGTGTAGTGTATAGTGTAGTGTATAGTGTAGTGTATAGTGTAGTGTATAGTGTAGTGTATAGTGTAGTGTATAGTGTAGTGTATAGTGTAGTGTATAGTGTAGTGTATAGTGTAGTGTATAGTGTGTAGTGTATAGTGTAGTGTATAGTGTATAGTGTAGTGTATAGTGTAGTGTATAGTGTGTAGTGTATAGTGTAGTGTATAGTGTAGTAGTATAGTGTGTAGTGTATAGTGTAGTGTATAGTATAGTAGTGTAGTGTATAGTATAGTAGTGTATAGTGTAGTGTATAGTGTATAGTGTAGTGTATAGTGTAGTGTATTGTAGTGTAGTGTATAGTGTAGTGTATAGTGTAGTGTATAGTGTAGTGTATAGTGTAGTGTATAGTGTAGTGTAGTGTATAGTGTAGTGTATAGTGTAGTGTGTGTATAGTGTAGTGTATAGTGTAGTGTATAGTGTATAGTGTAGTGTGTGTTGTCCCAGGCCGTGCGGTGCGTCACCGTGGTGACTATGCAGCGGTGTTGCTGCTGGACCACCGCTACCGCTCTCACGGCTCTCAGCTGCCCGGCTGGCTGAGGGGCAGCGTCGTGGCGCCCCCATCGCTGGCGGTCGCCATCACCACTCTGCGCCAGGTACGGTGCACGCATCTAGCCCAGCACCACCAACACCACCAACACCACCACCAACACCACCACCACCAACACCACCACCACCAACACCACCACCAACAACACCACCACCAACACCACCAACAACACCACCAACACCACCACCAACAACACCACCAACACCACCACCAACACTACCACCAACACCAACACCACCAACACCACCACCAACACCACCACCACCAACACCACCACCAACACTACCACCAACACCAACACCACCAACACCACCACCAACACCACCACCACCAACACCACCACCAACAACACCACCACCAACACCACCAACAACACCACCAACACCACCACCAACAACACCACCAACACCACCACCAACACCACCACCAACGCCACCAACACCACCAACACCAACACCACCAACAACACCAACACCACCACCAACACCACCAACACCACCACCACCAACACCACCAACGACACCACCAACAACACCACCACCACCAACACCACCACCAACACCACCACCAACACCACCAACACCACCAACACCAACACCACCAACACCACCAACACCACCACCAACACCACCACCAACGCCAACACCAACACCACCAACAACAACACCACCACCAACACCACCACCACCAACACCACCAACACCACCAACACCACCAACACCACCACCACCAACACCACCACCAACACCACCAACACCAACACCACCAACACCACCACCAACACCACCACCAACACCAACACCACCACCAACACCAACACCACCAACACCACCACCAACGCCAACACCACCACCAACACCACCAACACCACCACCAACACCAACACCACCAACACCACCACCAACACCACCACCAACACCACCAACACCACCACCACCAACACCACCACCAACACCAACACCACCACCAACACCACCAACACCACCACCACCAACACCACCAACACCACCACCAACACCAACACCACCACCAACACCACCAACACCACCACCACCAACACCACCACCAACACCACCACCAACACCACCAACACCAACACCACCAACACCACCACCAACACCACCAACACCACCAACACCAACACCACCAACACCACCAACACCACCACCAACACCACCACCAACACCACCAACACCAACACCACCACCAACACCACCACCAACACCACCACCAACGCCACCACCAACACCACCAACACCACCAACACCACCAACACCACCACCAACACCACCACCACCAACACCGTCACCACCACCAACACCACCACCACCACCACCACCGTCGCCACCACCAACACCACCACCACCAACACCACCACCAACACCACCACCAACACCACCACCAACACCACCACCATCACCACCACCACCACCAACGCCACCACCACCACCGCCACCACCACCAACACCACCAACGCCACCACCAACGCCACCACCACCACCACCAACGCCACCACCACCAACGCCACCACCAACGCCACCACCAACACCACCAACACCAACACCACCACCAACACCACCAACACCAACACCACCAACACCACCACCAACACCAACACCACCACCAACACCACCACCAACACCACCAACACCACCAACACCACCACCAACACCACCAACACCACCAACACCACCACCACCAACACCACCAACACCACCAACACCACCACCACCAACACCACCACCACCAACACCACCAACACCACCACCAACACCAACACCACCAACACCACCACCAACACCACCACCAACAACACCACCACCAACACCACCACCACCAACGCCACCAACACCACCACCACCAACACCACCACCACCACCACCAACACCACCACCACCAACACCACCACCACCAACACCACCAACACCACCACCAACACCACCAACACCAACACCACCACCAACACCAACACCACCAACACCACCACCAACACCACCACCAACAACACCACCAACACCACCACCACCAACACCACCAACACCACCACCACCAACACCACCACCAACACCACCACCAACGCCACCACCACCACCAACACCACCAACACCACCACCACCAACACCACCACCAACACCACCACCAACACCACCACCACCAACGCCACCACCACCAACGCCACCACCACCAACACCACCACCACCAACACCACCAACACCACCAACACCACCACCAACACCACCAACACCACCACCAACACCACCAACACCAACACCACCACCAACACCACCAACACCAACACCACCACCAACACCACCACCAACAACACCACCACCAACACCACCACCACCAACGCCACCACCACCACCAACACCACCAACACCACCACCACCAACACCACCACCAACACCACCACCAACACCACCACCACCAACGCCACCACCACCAACGCCACCACCACCAACACCACCACCACCAACACCACCAACACCACCAACACCACCACCAACACCACCAACACCACCACCAACACCACCAACACCAACACCACCACCAACACCACCAACACCAACACCACCACCAACACCACCACCAACAACACCACCACCAACACCACCACCACCAACGCCACCACCACCAACACCACCACCACCAACACCACCACCACCAACACCACCACCACCAACACCACCACCAACACCACCACCAACACCAACACCACCAACACCACCAACACCACCACCACCAACACCACCACCAACACCACCACCAACACCACCACCAACGCCACCACCACCACCAACACCACCAACACCACCACCACCAACACCACCAACACCACCACCAACACCACCAACGCCGTCACCACCACCACCAACACCACCACCACCAACGCCACCAACACCACCACCAACGCCGTCACCACCAACGCCACCACCAACGCCACCACCAACTCTTCTCTCTCTCTGAGTCACCCACTGAGTCACCCTCTGAGTCACCCAGTGAGTCACCCAGTGAGTCACCCACTGAGTCACCCAGTGAGTCACCCAGTGAGTCACCCTCTGAGTCACCCTCTGAGTCACCCAGTGAGTCACCCACTGAGGCACCCACTGAGTCACCCGCTGAGTCACCCGCTGAGTCACCCTCTGAGTCACCCACTGAGTCACCCTCCGAGTCATCCACTGAGTCACCCAGTGAGTCACCCTCTGAGTCACCTTCTGAGTCACCCTCTGAGTCACCCACTGAGTCACCCAGTGAGTCACCCTCTGAATCACCCACTGAGTCACCCTCTGAGTCACCCAGTGAGTCACCCTGTCTGTCACCCTGTCTGTCACCCTGTCTATCACCCAGTGAGTCACCCTCTGAATCACCCACTGAGTCACCCTCTGAGTCACCCTCTGAGTCACCCACTGAGTCACCCAGTGAGTCACCCTGTCTGTCACCCTATCTGTCACCCTGTCTATCACCCAGTGAGTCACCCTCTGAGTCACCCACTGAGTCACCCACTGAGTCACCCAGTGAGTCACCCTCTGAGTCACCCAGTGAGTCACCCAGTGAGTCACCCTGTCTGTCACCCTGTCTGTCACTCAGTGAGTCACCCTTTGAGTCACCCAGTGAGTCACCCAGTGAGTCACCGTGTCTGTCACCCTGTCTGTCACCCAGTGAGTCACCCAGTGAGTCACCCAGTGAGTCACCCAGTGAGTCACCCTGTCTGTCACCCAGTGAGTCACCCAGTGAGTCACCCACTGAGTCACCCAGTGAGTCACCCTCTGAGTCACCTTCTGAGTCACCCTCTGAGTCACCCACTGAGTCACCCAGTGAGTCACCCTCTGAATCACCCATTGAGTCACCCTCTGAGTCACCCTCTGAGTCACCCAGTGAGTCACCCTGTCTGTCACCCTGTCTGTCACCCTGTCTATCACCCAGTGAGTCACCCTCTGAATCACCCACTGAGTCACCCTCTGAGTCACCCACTGAGTCACCCAGTGAGTCACCCTGTCTGTCACCCTGTCTGTCACCCTGTCTATCACCCAGTGAGTCACCCTCTGAGTCACCCACTGAGTCACCCACTGAGTCACCCAGTGAGTCACCCTCTGAGTCACCCAGTGAGTCACCCAGTGAGTCACCCAGTGAGTCACCCAGTGAGTCACCCAGTGAGTCACCCTGTCTGTCACCCAGTGAGTCACCCAGTGAGTCACCGTGTCTGTCACCCTGTCTGTCACCCAGTGAGTCACCCACTGAGTCACCCACTGAATCACCCTGTCTGTCACCCAGTGAGTCACCCAGTGAGTCACCCAGTGAGTCACCCAGTGAGTCACCCTGTCTGTCACCCAGTGAGTCACCCAGTGAGTCACCCAGTGAGTCACCCACTGAGTCACCCACTGAGTCACCCTCTGAGTCACCCACTGAGTCACCCAGTGAGTCACCCAGTGAGTCACCCAGTGAGTCACCCGCTGAGTCACCCAGTGAGTCACCCAGTGAGTCACCCAGTGAGTCACCCTGTCTGTCACCCTGTCTGTCACCCTGTCTGTCACCCAGTGAGTCACCCACTGAGTCACCCACTGAATCACCCTGTCTGTCACCCAGTGAGTCACCCAGTGAGTCACCCAGTGAGTCACCAGTGAGTCACCCTGTCTGTCACCTAGTGAGTCACCCACTGAGTCACCCAGTGAGTCACCCAGTGAGTCACCCACTGAGTCACCCACTGAGTCACCCTCTGAGTCACCCACTGAGTCACCCAGTGAGTCACCCAGTGAGTCACCCTGTCTGTCACCCTGTCTGTCACCCAGTGAGTCACCCAGTGAGTCACCCTCTGAGTCACCCACTGAGTCACCCAGTGAGTCACCCAGTGAGTCACCCTGTCTGTCACCCTGTCTGTCACCCAGTGAGTCACCCAGTGAGTCACCCTCTGAGTCACCCACTGAGTCACCCAGTGAGTCACCCAGTGAGTCGCCCTCTGAGTCACCCAGTGAGTCACCCAGTGAGTCACCCTGTCTGTCACCCTGTCTGTCACCCAGTGAGTCGCCCTCTGAGTCACCCAGTGAGTCACCCACTGAGTCACCCAGTGAGTCACCCAGTGAGTCACCCTGTCTGTCACCCTCTGAGTCACCCTCTGAGTCACCCAGTGAGTCACCCAGTGAGTCACCCTGTCTGTCACCCTGTCTGTCACCCAGTGAGTCACCCTCTGAGTCACCCAGTGAGTCACCCAGTGAGTCACCCTGTCTGTCACCCTGTCTGTCACCCAGTGAGTCACCCTCTGAGTCACCCAGTGAGTCACCCAGTGAGTCACCCCTGTCTGTCACCCTGTCTGTCACCCAGTGAGTCACCCTCTGAGTCACCCAGTGAGTCACCCAGTGAGTCACCCTGTCTGTCACCCTGTCTGTCACCCAGTGAGTCACCCTCTGAGTCACCCAGTGAGTCACCCAGTGAGTCACCCTGTCTGTCACCCTGTCTGTCACCCAGTGAGTCACCCTCTGAGTCACCCAGTGAGTCACCCACTGAGTCACCCACTGAGTCACCCTCTGAGTCACCCACTGAGTCACCCACTGAGTCACCCAGTGAGTCACCCAGTGAGTCACCCTGTCTGTCACCCTGTCTGTCACCCAGTGAGTCACCCTCTGAGTCACCCACTGAGTCACCCAGTGAGTCACCCAGTGAGTCACCCTGTCTGTCACCCTGTCTGTCACCCAGTGAGTCACCCAGTGAGTCACCCTGTGAGTCACCCAGTGAGTCACCCTCTGAGTCACCCACTGAGTCACCCAGTGAGTCACCCAGTGAGTCGCCCTCTGAGTCACCCACTGAGTCACCCAGTGAGTCACCCAGTGAGTCACCCTGTCTGTCACCCTGTCTGTCACCCAGTGAGTCGCCCTCTGAGTCACCCAGTGAGTCACCCACTGAGTCACCCAGTGAGTCACCCAGTGAGTCACCCTGTCTGTCACCCTCTGAGTCACCCTCTGAGTCACCCAGTGAGTCACCCAGTGAGTCACCCTGTCTGTCACCCTGTCTGTCACCCTCTGAGTCACCCAGTGAGTCACCCAGTGAGTCACCCTGTCTGTCACCCTGTCTGTCACCCAGTGAGTCACCCTCTGAGTCACCCAGTGAGTCACCCAGTGAGTCACCCTGTCTGTCACCCTGTCTGTCACCCAGTGAGTCACCCTCTGAGTCACCCAGTGAGTCACCCAGTGAGTCACCCTGTCTGTCACCCTGTCTGTCACCCAGTGAGTCACCCACTGAGTCACCCAGTGAGTCACCCAGTGAGTCACCCTGTCTGTCACCCTGTCTGTCACCCAGTGAGTCACCCTCTGAGTCACCCAGTGAGTCACCCAGTGAGTCACCCAGTCTGTCACCCAGTGAGTCACCCTGTCTGTCACCCAGTGAGTCACCCACTGAGTCACCCAGTGAGTCACCCACTGAGTCACCCACTGAGTCACCCTCTGAGTCACCCACTGAGTCACCCAGTGAGTCACCCAGTGAGTCACCCACTGAGTCACCCTCTGAGTCACCCACTGAATCACCCTGTCTGTCACCCAGTGAGTCACCCAGTGAGTCACCCAGTGAGTCACCCAGTCTGTCACCCAGTGAGTCACCCTGTCTGTCACCCAGTGAGTCACCCACTGAGTCACCCAGTGAGTCACCCAGTGAGTCACCCACTGAGTCACCCACTGAGTCACCCTCTGAGTCACCCACTGAGTCACCCAGTGAGTCACCCAGTGAGTCACCCTGTCTGTCACCCTGTCTGTCACCCAGTGAGTCACCCTCTGAGTCACCCACTGAGTCACCCAGTGAGTCACCCTGTCTGTCACCCTGTCTGTCACCCAGTGAGTCACCCTCTGAGTCACCCACTGAGTCACCCAGTGAGTCACCCTCTGAGTCACCCAGTGAGTCACCCAGTGAGTCACCCACTGAATCACCCTGTCTGTCACCCAGTGAGTCACCCAGTGAGTCACCCAGTGAGTCACCCAGTCTGTCACCCAGTGAGTCACCCTGTCTGTCACCCAGTGAGTCACCCACTGAGTCACCCAGTGAGTCACCCAGTGAGTCACCCACTGAGTCACCCACTGAGTCACCCACTGAGTCACCCACTGAGTCACCCAGTGAGTCACCCAGTGAGTCACCCTGTCTGTCACCCTGTCTGTCACCCAGTGAGTCACCCTCTGAGTCACCCACTGAGTCACCCAGTGAGTCACCCTGTCTGTCACCCTGTCTGTCACCCAGTGAGTCACCCTCTGAGTCACCCACTGAGTCACCCAGTGAGTTACCCTCTGAGTCACCCAGTGAGTCACCCAGTGAGTCACCCTGTCTGTCACCCAGTGAGTCACCCAGTGAGTCACCCAGTGAGTCACCCTCTGAGTCACCCAGTGAGTCACCCAGTGAGTCACCCAGTGAGTCACCCTGTCTGTCACCCTGTCTCCCCCTCCGCAGTTCTTTGTGGACAGGAAAGCGGCGTCCACAAGCAGCAGCAGCTGCTGATGATGATGCTGATGATGATGCACCACCACGCCCGGCCGTCTTTGTCTTCCCAGTGACACACACAGAGGGTGGTGGTGTGGCCTGAACCACCACGCCCGGCCGTCTTTGTCTTCCCAGTGACACACACAGGGTGGTGGTGGTGTGGCCTATACCACCACGCCCGGCCGTCTTTGTCTTCCCAGTGACACACACAGAGGGTGGTGGTGTGGCCTGAACCACCACGCACGGCCGTCTTTGTCTTCCCAGTGACACACACAGAGGGTGGTGGTGGTGTGACCACCAGGGCTGCACGGTTTTGAGTGAAAGATCTCACTGCGATTTTCCTGTCCGGTCGATTTGCGATTTGTGATTTGTGATTTGATTCACGTGAAGTCCAACTTCAGTTCAATATTCAATGTGTAATCGATTTTAGAACACGGTGTGTGGTGGAGCATTAGCACGTGACACCAAGGCTGTAATTATAATTTATATTGGGGGGCACACACACACACATACACACCCCCACCCCCAATATATTGCTATAAAATAGATTTGTGTTTACATGATTGTGGTTTACGGTTGTCAGAGCTGTACTGGCCGGCTTCGCCCGGGACTTGGGTTCACCACACCCGGCCGCCTTTGTCTGCCCAGTGGGCGACGTTGACACACCACAGAAGTTACTCGCTTGAGGCTGAGTCGACCTTGGGGAGGCCCAGGACCGGTTAAAATAATCGTCACCGGTGGTGGCGGTCGTGAGCGGGAATCGTAGCGCGGCATAGCGCTGAACGGCTACACTGCAATGCGTTACGCTTCCACACACACAGACAGACACACACAGATACACACAGACACACAGAGACACACACACAGATACACACAGACACACAGAGACACACACACAGATACACACAGACAGATACACAGATACACACAAACAGATACACACAGACACACAGATATACACACACAGACACACAGATACAGACAGATACACACAGATACACAGACACACAGATACACACACACAGACAGATACACACAGACACACAGATACACACAGACACACAGACACACACATACACACAGATACACACACAGACAGATACACAGATACATACACACAGACACACAGATACACACAGACACAGATACATACACACAGACACACAGATACACACACACAGATACACAGACAGACAGATACACACACATACACAGACAGACACACAGATACACACACACAGATACACAGATACACACAGACAGATACACACAGACAGACACACACACACAGATACACACACAGATACACAGATATACACACACAGACACACACAGACAGATACACACAGACACAGATACACACAGACACACAGATACACACACAGACAGATACACAGATACACAGAGACAGATACACACAGACACACACAGATACACACACAGACACAGATATATACACAGACAGATACACACACACACACAGATACACACAGACATATACACACAGACACACACACAGAGACACACACAGATACACACACACATACAGATACACACACACAGATACACACACACAGATACACACACACAGATACACAACAACAACAACAACCGCCATTCGCCACTAAGTGGCGGTGACGTCACCACGACGCTTGTGCCAGGCTATGTGCACCCTGAGGCCACGTGAAGTGTCGAACGCCCGCTGGCAGGAGGTCACTGGGCAGACCCAGCAGGTGCCACGGGTCGACTGAGATGACTGGCTGATGCACCACCTGTGCCCCCTACTGTGCCAACCTGCTGTGTTTTAGCCACCCGGCGCTCCGCTCGTTGTTGTGAGCGTCGCTCCTCCGCCCTCCGTTGTTGTTGGAGGGCGACTGCCTCCAACTGCCCAGTAGCGTCCTTCACGAGCCTCCTCCACAGAGGCCGATCTTGACACCGCTGGTACCGGTCATCGGCAAGTCCACTCAGCTCCACGTCCTCCTGTACCACATCACTCCATCTCTTCTCTAGCCCGTGCCGCGCCCGTTTAGCCCCCTCAATCCGGCCAAACAAAAGCTGTTTCGGCATGCGGTGGCTGGGCATGCGGGCTACATGACCCAGCCATCGCAGCCTTGCCTGCCGGAGGAGCTCACCGATGGGACCTTGCCCAGATCTTTCAAGGATTTGTGAGCTCCTCACACAATCCAGCCTGGTTAAACCCAGGATGGATCGTAGGCAGGCCAGCCTAAATGTTTCTAACCGGCGAAGATGTTCCATTAGGGGGGTCCACGTTTCGCAAGCGTAGAGAAGGGAGGGAATGACCGTGGCCGAGAAGACCTGAAGCTTAGCGCGGAGCGATAGACCAGGTACAGTGAGGGTAAAACGTATTTGATCCCCTGCTGATTTTGTACGTTTGTCCACTGACAAAGAAATGATCAGTCTATAATTTTAATGGTAGGTTTATTTGAACAGTGAGAGACAGAATAACAACAACAAAATCCAGAAAAACGCATGTCAAAAATGTTATAAATTTATAGTGTGTGATGTGTTGGGGTGTGTGTTGGAGAGTGTGTGTGTGTTGGAGAGTGTGTGATTGTTGGAGAGTGTGTGTGTGTTGGAGTGTGTGTGTGTATTGGGGAGTGTGTGTGTGTTGGAGAGTGTGTGTGTGTTGGAGAGAGTGTGTGTGTTGGAGAGAGTGTGTGTGTTGAAGAGAGTGTGTTGGGGTGTGTGTGTTGGTGTGTGTTGGAGAGGGTGTGTTGGTGTGTGTGTGTGTTGGAGAGGGTGTGTTGGGGGGTGTGTGTGTTGGTGTGTGTGTGTTGGAGTGTGTGTTGGGGTGTGTGTGTTGGAGAGGGTGTGTGTTGGGGTGTGTGTGTTGGAGAGTGAGTGTGTGTGTTGGGGTGTGTGTGTTGGGGAGTGTGTGTGTTGGAGAGTGTGTGTGTTGGGGTGTGTGTGTTGGAGAGTGAGTGTGTGTGTTGGGGTGTGTGTGTTGGGGAGTGTGTGTGTTGGGGAGTGTGTGTGTTGGAGAGTGTGTTGGGGTGTGTGTGTTGGAGAGTGTGTGTGTTGGGGTGTGTGTGTTGGAGAGTGAGTGTGTGTGTTGGGGTGTGTGTGTTGGGGAGTGTGTGTGTTGGAGAGTGTGTTGGGGGGTGTGTGTGTTGGTGTGTGTGTGTTAGAGAGTGTGTGTGTGTTGGAGAGTGTGTGTTGGAGTGTGTGTGTGTGTGTGTTGGAGAGTGTGTGTGTTGGTGAGTGTGTTGGGGTGTGTGTGTTGGAGAGTGTGTGTGTTGGGGTGTGTGTGTTGGTGAGTGTGTTGGGGTGTGTGTGTTGGAGAGTGTGTGTGTTGGGGTGTGTGTGTTGGTGAGTGTGTTGGGGTGTGTGTGTTGGAGAGTGTGTGTGTTGGGGTGTGTGTGTTGGTGAGTGTGTTGGGGTGTGTGTGTGTGTGTTGGCCACGTGGTCCCCGCGAGCCTTCCCACAATCCCTAGCGGCAGCTACGGCTCCTCCTGCTGCATGAAGATGACCGCACTGCTGCTGCTGCAGGCAGCAGGGTTCACTGTGGGGGTGGGGGGAGAGTGGGTTGGTGAGTGAGACGGTGAGTTGGTGAGTAGGTTGGTGAGTGAGACAGTGAGTTGGTGAGTAGGTTGGTGAGTGAGACAGTGAGTTGGTGAGTGAGACGGTGAGTGGGTTGGTGAGTGAGTTGGTGAGTGAGACAGTGAGTTGGTGAGTGAGACAGTGAGTTGGTGAGTGAGACAGTGAGTGGGTTGGTGAGTGAGACAGTGAGTGAGTGAGTGAGACAGTGAGTTGGTGAGTGAGACAGTGAGTTGGTGAGTGAGACAGTGAGTGGGTTGGTGAGTGAGACAGTGAGTTGGTGAGTGAGACAGTGAGTTGGTGAGTGGGTTGGTGAGTGAGACTGAGTTGGTGAGTAGGTTGGTGAGTGAGACAGTGAGTTGGTGAGTAGGTTGGTGAGTGAGACAGTGAGTGGGTTGGTGAGTGAGACAGTGAGTTGGTGAGTAGGTTGGTGAGTGAGACAGTGCGTTGGTGAGTGAAACAGTGAGTTGGTGAGTAGGTTGGTGAGTGAGACAGTGAGTTGGTGAGTAGGTTGGTGAGTGAGACAGTGAGTTGGTGAGTGAGACAGTGAGTTGGAGGTAGGTTGGTGAGTGAGTGAGTTGGTGAGTGAGACAGTGAGTGAGTGAGACAGTGAGTTGGTGAGTAGGTTGGTGAGTGAGACAGTGAGTTGGTGAGTGAGACAGTGAGTTGGTGAGTGAGAGTGAGTTGGTGAGTGAGACAGTGAGTGAGTTGGTGAGACAGTGAGTTGGTGAGTGAGACAGTGGGTTGGTGAGTGAGACTGAGTTGGTGAGTAGGTTGGTGAGTGAGACAGTGAGTTGGTGAGTAGGTTGGTGAGTGAGACAGTGAGTTGGTGAGTGAAACAGTGAGTTGGTGAGTAGGTTGGTGAGTGAGACAGTGAGTTGGTGAGTGAGACAGTGAGTTGGTGAGTGAGACAGTGAGTTGGTGAGTAGGTTGGTGAGTGAGTGAGACAGTGAGTTGGTGAGTGAGACAGTGAGTGAGTGAGACAGTGAGTTGGTGAGTAGGTTGGTGAGTGAGACAGTGAGTTGGTGAGTAGGTTGGTGAGTGAGACAGTGAGTTGGTGAGTAGGTTGGTGAGTGAGACAGTGAGTTGGTGAGTGAGACAGTGAGTGAGTAGGTTGGTGAGTGAGACAGTGAGTTGGTGAGTGAGACAGTGAGTGAGTTGGTGAGACAGTGAGTTGGTGAGTAGGTTGGTGAGTGAGACAGTGAGTTGGTGAGTGAGACAGTGAGTTGGTGAGTAGGTTGGTGAGTGAGACAGTGAGTTGGTGAGTGAGACAGTGAGTGAGTGAGACAGTGAGTTGGTGAGTAGGTTGGTGAGTGAGACAGTGAGTTGGTGAGTGGGTTGGTGAGACAGTGAGTGAGTGAGACAGTGAGTTGGTGAGTAGGTTGGTGAGTGAGACAGTGAGTTGGTGAGTGAGACAGTGAGTTGGTGAGTGAGTTGGTGAGTGAGACAGTGAGTTGGTGAGTGAGACAGTGAGTAGGTTGGTGAGTGAGACAGTGAGAAGGTTGGTGAGTGAGACAGTGAGTGAGTTGGTTGTTGAGTGAGACAGTGAGTTGGTGAGTGAGACAGTGAGTGGGTTGGTGAGTGAGACAGTGAGAAGGTTGGTGAGTGAGACAGTGAGTGAGTTGGTTGGTGAGTGAAACAGTGAGTGAGTTGGTTGTTGAGTGAGACAGTGAGTTGGTGAGTGAGACAGTGAGTGGGTTGGTGAGTGAGACAGTGAGAAGGTTGGTGAGTGAGACAGTGAGTGAGTTGGTTGGTGAGACAGTGAGTTGGTTGGTGAGTGAGACAGTGAGTTGGTGAGTGAGACAGTGAGTGGGTTGGTGAGTGAGACAGTGAGAAGGTTGGTGAGTGAGACAGTGAGCGAGTTGGTTGGTGAGTGAAACAGTAAGTGAGTTGGTTGTTGAGTGAGACAGTGAGTTGGTTGGTGAGACAGTGAGTTGGTTGGTGAGTGAGTGAGTTGGTGAGTGAGACAGTGAGTTGGTTGGTGAGACAGTGAGTGAGTAGGTTGGTGAGTGAGACAGTGAGTGAGTTGGTGAGTGAGACAGTGGGTTGGTGAGTGAGATGGTGAGTAGGTTGGTGAGTGGGTGAGTGAGACAGTGAGTGGGTGGGTGAGTGAGACAGTGAGTGAGTGAGACAGTGAGTGAGTGGGTGAGTAGGTTGGTGAGTGAAACAGTGAGTGAGTTGGTGAGTGAAACAGTGAGTGAGTGAGTGAGTGGGCGGGTGAGTCACCGAACACGGTGTGCTCCTCCCCCTCCTCGTCGTCGTCCTCTTCATCATCCGGCACGGCGAGTGTGCGCCCAACGTGGCGGTGCCGAGGGCCCAGCAAGCGGCTGGTGGCCTCGTCCCTCCGTCTCGTGGGGAACGACTGTCCATCCCCTACACTGGTGGGTGAGTGGTGAGTGGGTGGGTGAGTGGGTGAGTGGGTGAGTGGGTGAGTGGGTGGGTGAGTGTGTGGGTGAGTGTGTGGGTGGGAGGGTGAGTGAGTGGGTGGGTGGGTGGGTGAGTGAGTGAGTGGGTGAGTGAGTGGGTGAGTGGGTGGGTGGGTGAGTGGGTGGGTGGGTGAGTGGGTGGGTGAGTGGGTGAGTGGGTGAGTGGGTGGGTGAGTGGGTGGGTGGGTGAGTGGGTGGGTGAGTGGGTGGGTGAGTGGTTCAGTGAGTGGGTGGGTGGGTGAGTGAGTGGGTGGGTGAGTGAGTGGGTGAGTGGATGAGTGAGTGGGTGAGTGGATGAGTGAGTGGATGAGTGAGTAGGTGAGTGAGTGGGTGAGTGGATGAGTGAGTGGGTGAGTGGATGAGTGAGTGGATGAGTGAGTAGGTGAGTGAGTGGGTGAGTGAGTGAATGGGTGAGTGGGTGAGTGGGTGGGTGAGTGGGTGGGTGAGTGGGTGAGTGGGTGGGTGAGTGGGTGGGTGGGTGAGTGAGTGGGTGGGTGAGTGGGTGGGTGGGTGGGTGAGTGGGTGAGTGAGTGGGTGGGGGAGTGAGTGAGTGGGTGGGTGAGTGGGTGAGTGGGTGAGTGAGTGAGTGAGTGGGTGGGTGGGTGAGTGGGTGAGTGGGTGGGTGGGTGGGTGAGTGGGTGAGTGGGTGGGTGAGTGGGTGAGTGGGTGGGTGAGTGAGTGAGTGGGTGAGTGTGTGGGTGAGTGAGTGGGTGAGTGAGTGAGTGAGTGGGTGGGTGAGTGGGTGGGTGGGTGAGTGGGTGAGTGAGTGGGTGGGTGGGTGAGTGAGTGAGTGGGTGAGTGGGTGAGTGAGTGGGTGAGTGGATAAGTGAGTGAGTAGGTGAGTGAGTGGGTGAGTGAGTGAATGGGTGAGTGGGTGAGTGAGTGGGTGAGTGAGTGAATGGGTGAGTGGGTGGGTGAGTGGGTGAGTGAGTGAGTGGGTGAGTGGGTGGGTGGGTGAGTGAGTGAGTGAGTGGATGGGTGAGTGAGTGGGTGAGTGAGTGAGTAGGTGAGTGAGTGGGTGAGTGAGTGAGTGAGTGGGTGGGTGGGTGAGTGGGTGGGTGAGTGGGTCAGTGAGTGGGTGGGTAGGTGAGTGAGTGGGTGGGTGAGTGAGTGGGTGAGTGGATGAGTGAGTGGGTGAGTGGATGAGTGAGTGGGTGAGTGGGTGAGTGAGTGGGTGAGTGGATGAGTGAGTAGGTGAGTGAGTGAGTGGGTGAGTGAGTGGGTGGGAGACAGCGACATGACGATGGTAGTGGTGATGGTGATGTTGTTGGTGATGTTGATGGTGATGTTGTTGTTGGTGATGATGTTGGTGATGATGTTGGTGATGTTGATGGTGATGTTGTTGATGGTGATGTTATTGGTGATGATGTTGATGGTGATGATGTTGGTGTTGGTGATGTTGTTGGTGATGTTGTTGGTGATGATGTTGGTGATGGTGATGTTGTTGGTGATGATGTTGGTGTTGGTGATGTTGTTGGTGATGATGTTGGTGATGATGTTGGTGATGTTGATGGTGATGTTGAATTTGATGTTGTTGGTGATGATGTTGATGGTGATGATGATGGTGATGTTGTTGTTGATGATGTTGATGGTGATGTTGGTGATGGTGATGTTTTTGGTGATGATGTTGTTGGTGATGGTGATGTTGATGATGATGTTGATGATGTTGGTGTTGGTGATGTTGATGGTGATGTTGAATTTGATGTTGTTTGTGATGTTGTTGGTGATGTTGATGTTGGTGATGTTGATGGTGATGTTGAATTTGATGTTGATGGTGATGATGTTGGTGTTGGTGATGATGTTGATGTTGGTGATGATGTTGTAGTTGTTGATGATGATGTTGGTGATGATGTTGTTGTTGTTGATGATGTTGTTGATGATGTTGTTGTTGTTGATGATGATGTTGGTGATGATGTTGTTGATGATGTTGATGTTGTTGGTGATGGTGATGTTGTTGGTGATGTTGATGGTGATGGTGTTGATGATGATGTTGTTGGTGTTGGTGATGGTGATGATGTTGATGGTGATGATGTTGTTGGTGATGTTGATGGTGATGGTGTTGATGATGATGTTGTTGGTGTTGGTGATGGTGATGATGTTGATGGTGATGATGTTGTTGGTGATGTTGATGGTGATGGTGTTGATAATGATGTTGTTGATGATGTTGATGGTGATGTTGGTGATGGTGATGTTGATGATGATGATGATGTTGGTGATGATGTTGATGGTGATGATGTTGGTGTTGGTGATGGTGATGTTGATGGTGATGTTGTTGGTGATGGTGATGTTGATGGTGATGATGTTGGTGATGGTGATGTTGATGGTGATGATGTTGGTGATGGTGATGTTGATGGTGATGATGTTGATGATGATGGTGATGTTGATGGTGATGATGTTGATGGTGATGATGTTGGTGATGATGATGTTGGTGATGATGTTGTTGTTGTTGATGATGATGTTGGTGATGGTGATGTTGTTGCTCGCTACCTGGTGAATATCGGCAGTAGCCAGAGTCGTGGATCCTCACCCAGCACCTGGCGAACATTCTGCACCAGACCAAGGCTGAAGTCTCCGGCCTCATCACCACCACGGAATACCGGAGCACGAAACGCCTCTAGGGTGGTGAGGGAGGTGGTGAGGGAGGTGGTGAGGGAGGTGGTGAGGGAGGTGGTGAGGGAGGTGCTGAGGGTGGTGGTGAGTGTGGTGGTGAGGGTGGTGGTGAGGGTGGTGGTGAGGGAGGTGGTGAGGGAGGTGGTGAGGGTGGTGGTGAGGGTGGTGGTGGTGAGGGAGGTGGTGAGGGAGGTGGTGAGGGAGGTGGTGAGGGAGGTGGTGAGGGTGGTGGTGAGGGTGGTGGTGAGGGAGGTGGTGAGGGTGGTGGTGAGGGTGGTGGTGGTGGTGAGGGTAGTGGTGAGGGTGGTGGTGAGGGTGGTGGTGAGGGAGGTGGTGAGGGAGGTGGTGAGGGAGGTGGTGAGGGAGGTGGTGAGGGTAGTGGTGAGGGTGGTGGTGAGGGTAGTGGTGAGGGTGGTGGTGAGGGAGGTGGTGAGGGAGGTGGTGAGGGAGGTGGTGAGGGTGGTGAGGGAGGTGGTGAGGGAGGTGGTGAGTTGGTGAGGGAGGTGGTGAGGGAGGTGGTGAGGGAGGTGGTGAGGGAGGTGGTGAGGGAGGTGGTGAGGGAGGTGGTGAGGGAGGTGGTGAGGGAGGTGGTGAGGGAGGTGGTGAGGGAGGTGGTGAGGGAGGTGCTGAGGGAGGTGGTGAGGGAGGTGGTGAGGGAGGTGGTGAGGGTGGTGGTGAGGGAGGTGGTGAGGGAGGTGGTGAGGGTGGTGGTGAGGGTGGTGGTGAGGGTGGTGAGGGAGGTGGTGAGGGTGGTGGTGAGGGTGGTGGTGAGGGTGGTGGTGAGGGTGGTGGTGAGGGTGGTGGTGAGGGTGGTGGTGAGGGTGGTGGTGAGGGTGGTGGTGAGGGTGGTGGTGAGGGAGGTGGTGAGGGTGGTGGTGGTGAGGGAGGTGGTGAGGGTGGTGGTGAGGGTGGTGGTGAGGGTGGTGGTGAGCTCACAAATCCTTGAAAGATCTGGACATACCTGGGCAGTGTGCTTATGACTGGCTCCAGTTTAACAGCAGAGGTCTCACTCCGAATCAGTCGAGCGGCAATATCTTTTCATCGGTTGCGTAACGCTGTGTGGAAGCTACCTGGTCTGTCGCTCCGCACTAAGCTTCAGGTCTTCTCGGCCACGGTCATTCCCTCCCTTCTCTACGCTTGCGAAACGTGGACCCCCCTAATGGAACATCTTCGCCGGTTAGAAACATTTAGGCTGGCCTGCCTACGATCCATCCTGGGTTTAACCAGGCTGGATTGTGTGAGGAGCTCACAAATCTTTGAAAGATCTGGGCAAGGTCCCATCGGTGAGCTCCTCCGGCAGGCAAGGCTGCGATGGCTGGGTCATGTAGCCCGCATGCCCAGCCACCGCATGCCGAAACAGCTTTTGTTTGGCCGGATTGAGGGGGCAAAGCGGGCGCGGCACGGGCTAGAGAAGAGATGGAGTGATGTGGTACAGGAGGACGTGGAGCTGAGTCGACTTGCCGATGACTGGTACCAGCGGTGTCAAGATCGGCCTCTGTGGAGGAGGCTCGTGAAGGACGCTACTGGGCAGTTGGAGGTAGTCGCCCTCCAACAACAACGGAGGGCAGAGGAGCGACGCTCACAACAACGAGCGGAGCTCCGGGTGGCTAAAGCACAGCAGGTTGGCACAGTAGGGGGCACAGGTGGTGCATCAGCCAGTCATCTCAGTCAGTCGACCCGTGGCACCTGCTGGGTCTGCCCCGTGACCTCCTCCCAGCGGGCGTTCGACACTTCACGTGGCCTCAGGGTGCACATAGCCTGGCACAAGCGTCGTGGTGATGTCACCGCCACTTAGTGGCGAATGGCGGTTGTTGTTGTTGTTGTTGTGTCACTGTGTGTGTCACTGTGTGTGTATGTGTGTATGTGTGTGTGTGTGTCTGCAAAACAACCCCCTACCTCCTCGTGGTGCCGGATGGGTAACTCTGTCGTGGACAGTGCTGTGGGGGGAGATCCAATTTTGATTGGCTCCTCCCCTCATGGCATGTGTGTCCACCACAGGGGCTAAACGGGGGCTCTGGACGGGTGCGAGGGGCTGGTAACCCCTCCACCTTCAATTAATTACCACAAAACTACGACTGAAATATATAACTAATAAGCTTGTGCCGGAGGCCCCGGGGGGCCAGGCATCTATGACATCTCCTGGTCAAACCCCAATTGGCGGAGCCAGGAGATTGAATCTCTACCCTCGGGGCTCCTCCAGAAACAACGAAAAACCACTACGGGTGGCCACGTGGAATGTTCGAACGCTCACTGCGGAGGAGAGGCTGCCACTCCTCTGTCGGGAGCTGGACCGGTACCGCCTGGATCTATGTGGCATTCAGGAGGTCCGGTGGACCGGCTCTGGCTCCTGCCACCATGAGGGGTGGACAGTCCTCTACTCGGGGCAGCAGACTGCCAAACAACAGGGTGTGGCTCTTCTTTTGAACAAAAGAATGAAGGGGACGTGGGAGCGTGGCGGTGAGGTGTGGGAAGCTGTAAGCCCCAGGCTACTTTAGGCTCGCCTTCTCATCAACCGGAGGCGAGGAATGGTGGTCGTGGTTACTTATGCCCCCACCGAAGATGAACATCCGTGGAGGGATGCAGGCAAAGCCGATGAGTCAGATGCCTTCTATGACCTCCTGTCACAGGTGCTGGCTAAAGTGGCCCCTCGGGATAGAGTCATCATGTTGGGTGACTTCAATGCCCGAGTTGGTCATGATACTAGCACCTGGTCTGGAGTGATTGGAGGGTATGGGCCAGATCATCTCAATAACAACGGTAGGAGGCTGCTAGATTTTTGTGCAGCCCATGGGCTTGTAATTACCAACACGCTGTTCCGGCATCGGCGCATCCACACAACATCATGGATGCATGCCGGGTCTAAGCAAGAATATCTGCTGGACTACATAGTGATGGACTAGCGGATGCGAGCCCATGTCCTTGACACCAGGACCTACCGTGGAGCTGATCTGCCCTCTGACCATCGACTAGTCATCTGAAAGATGCGCCTGCCATTCTTCCACTCCAAAGGTGGGTGTACACCCAGGACCCCATTCTAACCTAAAGTGGCCTGGTCTCAGTTATCTGATGAAAGTTGCAAGCGAGAATTTCATCATCGCTTGCGGCTGGGATTGGCATCGTCCCCGACTCCTCCTGATGTCGAGGGTAAATGGGCGAGGTTTAGGACTGTGACTCATGCAGCTGCAATGGCTGCTTTGGGTACGCGATCCAGACCTCCCCAGAGACCCTGGCTGACAGAGGAGGTGTTCAGGATGGTTGAGAAAAAGCGACAGGCCCACTGTCATCGGCTACAGAATCCCACGTCAGAGAATGAGGAGGCTTACCGCAGCCTTCGCTCGGAGGTTCGGAGAGCCGTGAGGCACTGCAAGGATGGGTCGTGGTCACGGGTTGCTGAGGAGATGGAGTCTGCCTCAGTGGCCCGTGATCACAAATCTCTATTTAACTCCATCAAAAAAGTAATCTGCAGCGCCACACCTATTACCATCATTAGGGGAAAAAACGGTGACCCAATCTCCGACCCCCAGGAACAGGTTTGCAGATTTGCTCAGCATTTTTGTGAGGTCCTGGGGGAGGGAAAATCCCTCAGCCAGGAAAACATCGTGGCACAAAGTGAGGATGACCCTGCTGAGGCTGCGGTGCCTCAAATATTGGAAGAAGTCACCCCCTGTGAGTGGATGAGGTGCCATCTGTTGAGGAAGTACTGAAGGCGATCCGGAGTCTGAGACCAGGAAAGGCAGCGGGCAGAGATGATCTCCCAAGCGAAATGCTGAGGGAGGGCGGCGTTTGTGCACAGATTGCCCTATATGACATCATAACAACAGTCTGGACCACTGGATGGGTTCCGCAGGATTGGAAGGATGCCCTGGCGGTCCCCCTTTTTAAAAAGGGGGACCGCACAGACTGTAACAACTACAGGGGCATCTCACTCCTCAGTGTGTCGGGAAAGGTCCTGGCAATGATTATTCAACATCGCCTTGCCAGGCACGCTGAGGAGAGGCTTGCGGAGCCCCAATGCGGTTTCAGGAAAGGGCGGTCCTGCACAGATGCTATATTTTCTGTCCGTCTGCTACAGCAGAGGTGTAGGGAATTCCAACAAGACCTACATCTCTGCTTTATTGACCTGGTCAAGGCCTATGATACCATCAGTAGGCCTGGGCTCTGGGTTGTTCTTCGTGCTTTTGGAGTACCTGACCCTCTGCTCACGATCATTAAGGACCTTCATGATGGTGAACGGGCCCGGGTAAAACTACGTGGCCGGGAGTCAGAGCCATTCCCTGTACACCTTGGGGTGCGACAGGGATGTCCTCTGGCTCCCACATTATTTAACATCTATTTTGACCACGTAGTTTGTGAAGCCTTCAATAGCTGTACCGGGGGAATCTCCATATGGTACAGATGTAATGGGAGGCTGATCGATGCCCGGGTGCGGTCAAGGGATGGCTCCCTATTGCTCAACCACGTTATGTATGCTGATGATTTGGTAATAGCTGCTCATTCAGAGGAGGAGTTGGAGACGCTGCTGCTGAGACTGGAGCGTGCCACTAAGAGGTGGGGCCTTGACCATCAGCCCCACCAAAACTAAGCACCTGCCTGGGTATTTTGTACCATCGGACACTCCACCCCCACAACTCCCAATCGGTGATGGGGCAGTTGTGGAGAGAGTGGAGAGTTTGCCATACCTGTGCAGTGTGCTTATGACTGGCTCCAGTTTAACAGCAGAGGTCTCACTCCGAATCAGTCGAGCGGCAATATCTTTTCATCGGTTGCGTAATGCTGTGTGGAAGCTACCTGGTCTGTCGCTCCGCACTAAGCTTCAGGTCTTCTCGGCCACGGTCATTCCCTCCCTTCTCTACGCTTGCGAAACGTGGACCCCCCTAATGGAACATCTTCGCCGGTTCGAAACATTTAGGCTGGCCTGCCTACGATCCATCCTGGGTTTAACCAGACTGGATTGTGTGAGGAGCTCACAAATCCTTGAAAGATCTGGGCAAGGTCCCATCGGTGAGCTCCTCCGGCGGGCAAGGCTGCGATGGCTGGGTCATGTAGCCCGCATGCCCAGCCAACGCATGCCGAAACAGCTTTTGTTCGGCCGGATTGAGGGGGCTAAGCGGGCGCGGCACGGGCTAGAGAAGAGATGGAGTGATGTGGTACAGGAGGACGTGGAGCTGAGTGGACTTGCCGATGACTGGTACCAGCGGTGTCAAGATCGGCCTCTGTGGAGGAGGCTCGTGAAGGATGCTACTGGGCAGTTGGAGGCAGTCGCCCTCCAACAACAACGGAGGGCGGAGGAGCGAAGCTCAGAACAACGAGCGGAGCGCCGGGTGGCTAAAGCACAGCAGGTTGGCACAGTAGGGGGCACAGTTGGTGCATCAGCCAGTCATCTCAGTCAGTCGACCCGTGGCACCTGGGTCTGCCCCGTGACCTCCCGCCAGCGGGCGTTCGACACTCCACGTGGCCTCAAGGTGCACATAGCCTGGCACAAGCGTCGTGGTGACGTCACCGCCACTTAGTGGCGAATGGCGGTTGTTGCTGTTGTGTGTGTCTCTATGTGTGTGTGTGTATCTGTGTGTGTGTGTCTGTGTGTGTGTGTGTGTCTATGTGTGTGTGTGTCTCTGTGTGTCTCTCTGTGTGTGTGTCTCTGTGTGTGTCTGTGTGTGTGTCTCTGTGTGTGTGTCTACGAGTCCGCACCGAGCGTGGTGGAGTTGATGGCGAGTAGCCAGCCGTGGTACCCGAGCAGGGACAGGAGACTCACAGAGAACATCGCGGCCACGAGGAACAGGAACAGGATGTGGAATCGTGCCTGGGTGTCGGCCAGACCCTCCTACACGCGGGGAGACACGCGGGTAGACACGGCGAGACACGCGGGGAGAGACACGGAGAGACACGGAGAGACACGGGGAGACTCGGGGAGAGACACGGAGAGACACGGGGAGACTCGGGGAGACACGGGGAGAGACACGCGGGGAGACACGCGGGGAGACACGCGGGGAGACGCGGGGAGACACGGGGAGACACGCGGGGAGACACGGGGAGACACGGGGAGACACGGGGAGACACACGGGGAGACTCGGGGAGAGACACGGGGAGACACGGGGAGACACGAGGAGGGAGACACGCGGGGAGACACGGGGAGACACGGGGAGAGACACAGAGAGACACGGAGAGACTCGGGGAGAGACGCGGGGGGAGACGCGGGGGGAGACGCGGGGGGAGACACGGGGAGACTCGGGGAGACACGGGGGGAGACACGGGGAGACACGGGGAGACACGCGGGGAGACACGGGGAGACTCGGGGAGACACGGGGAGACACGTGGGGAGACACGGGGAGACACGTGGGGAGACACGGGGAGACACGCGGGGAGACACGGGGAGACGCGGGGGGAGACACGGGGAGAGACACGGGGAGACACGGGGAGACGCGGGGGGAGACACGGAGAGACACGGGGAGACTCGGGGAGACACGGGGAGCGACACGCGGTGAGACACGCGGGGAGACACGCGGGGAGACTCGGGGAGACACGGGGAGACACGGGGGGAGACACGGGTAGACACGGGGAGACACGCGGGGAGACACGCAGGGAGACGCTCGGGGGGAGACACGGGGGGAGACACGGGGAGAGACACGGGGAGACACGGGGAGATGCGGGGAGACACGGGGAGACACGGAGAGACACGGGGAGAGACACGGGGAGACACGGGGAGACACGGAGAGACACGGGGGCAGACGCGGGGCGAGAAACGCGGGGAGACACGGAGACACGGAGACATGCAGGGAGACACGCGGAGAGACTCACGGAGAGACACGCGGGGAGACACGCGGGGAGACACGGGGAGACACGGAGAGACACGGGGAGACACGGGGAGACACGGAGAGACACGGGGAGAGACACGGGGAGACACGGGGAGACATGGGGGGAGACACGCGGGGAGACACGGGGAGACACGGGGGGAGACACGGGGAGAGACACAGAGAGACACGGAGAGACACGGGGAGACACGGGGAGACTCGGGGAGAGACGCGGGGAGAGACACGGGGAGACACGGGGAGACACGCGGGGAGACACGGGGAGACACGCGGGGAGACACGGGGAGACACGGGGAGACACGCGGGGAGACACGTGGAGAGACACGGAGACACGCGGGGAGACACGGGGAGACACGCGGAGAGACATAGAGAGACACGGAGAGACACGGGGGGAGACACGGGGGGAGACACGGGGAGACACGGGGGGAGACACAGAGAGACACGGGGAGACACGGGGAGAGACTCGGGGAGAGACACGGGGAGACACGGGGAGACACACGGGGAGACACGGAGACATGCAGGGAGACACGCGGAGAGACTCACGGAGAGACACGCGGGGAGACACGGGGAGACACGGGGGGAGACACAGAGAGACACGGAGAGACACGGGGAGACTCGGGGAGAGACTCGGGGAGAGACACGGGGAGACACGAGGGGAGACACGGAGAGACACGGAGACACGGAGAGACACGGAGACCCCTCCTCTCTCTCTCACCTCCTCACCCTCTCTCTCTCACCTCCTCTCTCTCCCCCTTTCTCTCTCTCACCTCCTCTCTCACCTCCTCATCCTCTCTCTCCCCCTCTCTCTCTCACCACCTCCTCACCCTCTCTCTCTCCCCCTCTCTCTCTCACCTCCTCGCTCACCTCCTCTATCCCCTCCCCCCCGCCCCGCTCACCGTCCAGAATCGCAGGAAGTATCGCAGCACGGTGAATGTGACCAGGACGCAGTGGAGCGCCGCGTAGAGTAGGAAGAGCAGAAAAAACTTGTAGTTGGAGTAGCCCACGCAGTTGTTCACCCTGCAGACAACACCCCAACACACGTGGTAGTAGTTGGAGTAGCCCACGCAGTTGTTCACCCTGCACAGACAACACCCCACCACACGTGGTAGTAGTTGGAGTAGCCCACGCAGTTGTTCACCCTGCAGACAACACCCCAACACACGTGGTAGTAGTTGGAGTAGCCCACGCAGTTGTTCACCCTGCACAGACAACACCCCACCACACGTGGTAGTAGTTGGAGTAGCCCACGCAGTTGTTCACCCTGCAGACAACACCCCAACACACGTGGTAGTAGTTGGAGTAGCCCACGCAGTTGTTCACCCTGCACAGACAACACCCCAACACACGTAGTAGTAGTTGGAGTAGCCCACGCAGTTGTTCACCCTGCACAGACAACACCCCAACACACGTGGTAGTAGTTGGAGTAGCCCACGCAGTTGTTCACCCTGCACAGACAACACCCCAACACACGTGGTAGTAGTTGGAGTAGCCCACGCAGTTGTTCACCCTGCAGACAACACCCCAACACACGTGGTAGTAGTTGGAGTAGCCCACGCAGTTATTCACCCTGCACAGACAACACCCCAACACACGTGGTAGTAGTTGGAGTAGCCCACGCAGTTGTTCACCCTGCAGACAACACCCCAACACACATAGTAGTAGTTGTAGTAGCCCACTAAGTTGTTCACCCTGCAGACAACACCCCAATACACGTGGTAGTAGTTGGAGTAGCCCACTAAGTTGTTCACCCTGCACAGACAACACCCCACCACACGTGGTAGTAGTTGGAGTAGCCCACGCAGTTGTTCACCCTGCAGACAACACCCCAACACACGTGGTAGTAGTTGGAGTAGCCCACGCAGTTGTTCACCCTGCACAGACAACACCCCAACACACGTGGTAGTAGTTGGAGTAGCCCACTAAGTTGTTCACCCTGCACAGACAACACCCCACCACACGTGGTAGTAGTTGGAGTAGCCCACGCAGTTGTTCACCCTGCACAGACAACACCCCAACACACGTGGTAGTAGTTGGAGTAGCCCACGCAGTTGTTCACCCTGCACAGACAACACCCCAACACACGTGGTAGTAGTTGGAGTAGCCCACGCAGTTGTTCACCCTGCAGACAACACCCCACCACACGTGGTAGTAGTTGGAGAGGCCCACTAAGTTGTTCACCCTGCACAGACAACACCCCAACACACGTGGTAGTAGTTGGAGTAGCCCACGCAGTTGTTCACCCTGCAGACAACACCCCAACACACGTGGTAGTAGTTGGAGTAGCCCACGCAGTTGTTCACCCTGCAGACAACACCCCAACACACGTGGTAGTAGTTGGAGTAGCCCACGCAGTTGTTCACCCTGCACAGACAACACCCCAACACACGTGGTAGTAGTTGGAGAAGCCCACGCAGTTGTTCACCCTGCACAGACAACACCCCAACACACGTGGTAGTAGTTGTAGTAGCCCACTAAGTTGTTCACCCTGCACAGACAACACCCCACCACACGTGGTAGTAGTTGGAGTAGCCCACGCAGTTGTTCACCCTGCAGACAACACCCCAACACACATAGTAGTAGTTGGAGTAGCCCACTAAGTTGTTCACCCTGCAGACAACACCCCACCACACGTGGTAGTAGTTGGAGTAGCCCACGCAGTTGTTCACCCTGCAGACAACACCCCAACACACGTGGTAGTAGTTGTAGTAGCCCACTAAGTTGTTCACCCTGCACAGACAACACCCCACCACACGTGGTAGTAGTTGGAGTAGCCCACTAAGTTGTTCACCCTGCACAGACAACACCCCAACACACGTGGTAGTAGTTGGAGTAGCCCACGCAGTTGTTCACCCTGCACAGACAACACCCCAACACACGTGGTAGTAGTTGGAGTAGCCCACGCAGTTGTTCACCCTGCAGACAACACCCCAACACACGTGGTAGTAGTTGGAGTAGCCCACTAAGTTGTTCACCCTGCACAGACAACACCCCACCACACGTGGTAGTAGTTGGAGTAGCCCACGCAGTTGTTCACCCTGCAAAGACAACACCCCAACACACGTGGTAGTAGCCCACTAAGTTGTTCACCCTGCAGACAACACCCCAACACACGTGGTAGTAGTTGGAGTAGCCCACTAAGTTGTTCACCCTGCACAGACAACACCCCACCACACGTGGTAGTAGTTGGAGTAGCCCACGCAGTTGTTCACCCTGCAAAGACAACACCCCAACACACGTGGTAGTAGCCCACTAAGTTGTTCACCCTGCAGACAACACCCCAACACACGTGGTAGTAGTTGTAGTAGCCCACTAAGTTGTTCACCCTGCACAGACAACACCCCACCACACGTGGTAGTAGTTGGAGTAGCCCATGCAGTTGTTCACCCTGCACAGACAACACCCCACCACACGTGGTAGTAGTTGGAGTAGCCCACTAAGTTGTTCACCCTGCACAGACAACACCCCACCACACGTGGTAGTAGTTGGAGTAGCCCACTAAGTTGTTCACCCTGCACAGACAACACCCCACCACACGTGGTAGTAGTTGGAGTAGCCCACTAAGTTGTTCACCCTGCACAGACAACACCCCAACACACGTGGTAGTAGTTGGAGTAGCCCACTAAGTTGTTCACCCTGCACAGACAACACCCCACCACACGTGGTAGTAGTTGGAGTAGCCCACTAAGTTGTTCACCCTGCACAGACAACACCCCACCACACGTGGTAGTAGTTGGAGAGGCCCATGCAGTTGTTCACCCTGCACAGACAACACCCCACCACACGTGGTAGTAGTTGGAGTAGCCCACGCAGTTGTTCACCCTGCAAAGACAACACCCCAACACACGTGGTAGTAGCCCACTAAGTTGTTCACCCTGCAGACAACACCCCAACACACGTGGTAGTAGTTGTAGTAGCCCACTAAGTTGTTCACCCTGCACAGACAACACCCCACCACACGTGGTAGTAGTTGGAGTAGCCCATGCAGTTGTTCACCCTGCACAGACAACACCCCACCACACGTGGTAGTAGTTGGAGTAGCCCACTAAGTTGTTCACCCTGCACAGACAACACCCCACCACACGTGGTAGTAGTTGGAGTAGCCCACTAAGTTGTTCACCCTGCACAGACAACACCCCACCACACGTGGTAGTAGTTGGAGTAGCCCACTAAGTTGTTCACCCTGCACAGACAACACCCCAACACACGTGGTAGTAGTTGGAGTAGCCCACTAAGTTGTTCACCCTGCACAGACAACACCCCACCACACGTGGTAGTAGTTGGAGTAGCCCACTAAGTTGTTCACCCTGCACAGACAACACCCCACCACACGTGGTAGTAGTTGGAGAGGCCCATGCAGTTGTTCACCCTGCACAGACAACACCCCACCACACGTGGTAGTAGTTGGAGAGGCCCACGCAGTTGTTCACCCTGCACAGACAACACCCAACCACACGTGGTAGTAGTAGTAGTAGCCCACTAAGTTGTTCACCCTGCACAGACAACACCCCAACACACGTGGTAGTAGTAGTAGAAGCCCACTAAGTTGTTCACCCTGCAAAGCACTGCCTTTCGAACTGCGTCTACCATCACCACTACGACTCACTCACTCACCAACCCACCGCTCACGTGCTGTGTCACGGGGTGACACAGCACGTGAGACAGGGTGACACAGCACGTGAGACAGGGTGACACAGTACGTGTGATGGGGTGACACAGTACGTGAGACGGGGTGACACAGTACATGTGACGGGGTGACACAGTACGTGTGACGGGGTGACACAGTAGGTGTGATGGGGTGACACAGCACGTGAGACAGGGTGACACAGTACGTGACGGGGTGACACAGTGAGACAGGGTGACACAGTGAGACAGGGTGACACAGTGAGACAGGGTGACACAGTACATGTGACGGGGTGACACAGTAGGTGAGACAGGGTGACACAGTACGTGTGACGGGGTGACACAGCACGTGAGACAGGGTGACACAGTACGTGACGGGGTGACACAGTGAGACAGGGTGACACAGTGAGACAGGGTGACACAGTACGTGTGACGGGGTGACACAGTACGTGTGACGGGGTGACACAGTACGTGTGATGGGGTGACACAGTACGTGTGACAGGGTGACACAGTACGTGACACAGGGTGACACAGTACGTGTGACAGGGTGACACAGTAGGTGAGACAGGGTGACACAGTGAGACAGGGTGACACAGTACGTGTGACGGGGTGACACAGTACGTGTGACGGGGTGACACAGTACGTGAGACAGGGTGACACAGTACGTGTGACAGGGTGACACAGTACGTGTGACAGGGTGACACAGTACGTGTGACAGGGTGACACAGTGAGACAGGGTGACACAGTACGTGAGACAGGGTGACACAGTACGTGTGACAGGGTGACACAGTGAGACAGGGTGACACAGTACGTGTGACGGGGTGACACAGTACGTGTGACAGGGTGACACAGTGAGACAGGGTGACACAGTACGTGTGACGGGGTGACACAGCACGTGTGACGGGGTGACACAGTACGTGTGACAGGGTGACACAGTGAGACAGGGTGACACAGTACGTGTGACGGGGTGACACAGTACGTGTGACAGGGTGACACAGTACGTATGACGGGGTGACACAGTACGTGTGACGGGGTGACACAGTACAGGGTGACACAGTACGTGAGACAGGGTGACACAGTACGTGTGACAGGGTGACACAGTACAGGGTGACACAGTACGTGAGACAGGGTGACACAGTACGTGTGACGGGGTGACACAGTACGTGTGACGGGGTGACACAGTACGTGTGACGGGGTGACACAGTACGTGACACAGGGTGACACAGTACGTGTGACGGGGTGACACAGTACGTGTGACAGGGTGACAGTACGTGTGACGGGGTGACACAGTACGTGTGACGGGGTGACACAGTACGTGAGACAGGGTGACACAGTACAGGGTGACACAGTACGTGTGACAGGGTGACACAGTACATGGGTGACACAGTACGTGAGAC